GTAGGTTTGCACACGGGGCGGTAAAGTGACGAAGAGGAGAAAGCACATCGTGGAGGGGGATGGCGGCCGGTAAGAGAGAGGGAGGTTGGTTAGTTAGTGTGAGAGGAAGTGAGCGGGCGACGTGTATCGTACAGGAAAAGAGACGACGTTGTCGTGAAGGAGGGAGAGGTTTAAGGAGCGAGAGGGGCGGGGATCTTAGGAGGGGCGCCTAACGTCACGGCGCATTCACTCACCGGCCGTCGCCGACGCCGCTGTGCCGCACACGCAACCCACACGATACGGTCAGTTTTCTCTTAAACATTTCTTCCGTGACAGCCGATATTTTTGTTTTTTTTTTTGTTTTTTTGTTTGTTTCCTCGCCTCGGTTTTCACCGCCGTTTCTTCTCTCCGCCGCCCCCTCCTCCTCCTCCGCCACCCCCGTTCCCACACCCGGCCAATATTTCTTCACGTTTCTCTCCCGGTTACATTTACGCCTGTTATTCGTCGAAACCCGCCTGTCGCTTCCCCGTTCAGTCGGTGCGAATCTGTTCGCAAGTGATCGCGCACGGTTTAAACCGTGACAACTGCGCGCGAGTAACAAAAGTATCGATGTAAACCAGTGATCAAACGAGTGACGATAACGGGTATATAAAACGTGAATGGTTCCGGTGTCTTGGACGGTGTGAATCGTATTGTAACACCGGCGATTTTCCGCCAAACGGGTTTGTGCTCTTGTCAAGAAGACGCTGGGTGACAGTGAATCAGCTGATCGTTTACGGGCGCCACGCTCTCTCTCTCGCTCTTTATATATCTATATATATATATAAAGTACATATATATCGCTCTCTCTCTCTCTCTCCTTCTATCGGTTCCTCTTCTCCCAGTACACACACACACACACAGCAGCAGGAGCAGCACCACGAGGTCCGCTGGTTGTGTTTAGTTTTCCCGCCAACGAAACGCCCGCGTTCAAAATACACACGTTTTCCCAATCGAACCCAGTTCTCCAGTGTGAGTTATCTTCCGTCAACGTTGGATTCTCCCCCGGTACACACGTACACGTTAACCGGTGATAATTCTACCATCTACGTATTTCACGAGAGAGAGAAAAAGGAAAACAGTGCAAGAGATACTCGACATCGGATCGCAGCAGCAAATGGAGAAACTTGCCAAATTTTATCCACGACGATGACGATCCTCGATCGTCGAACGATCAAGTGCCGTGTGTGTGTGTGTGTTTCTTTTTTTTTGCTTCATGTTATTTTCGTCGTGTGAAAATTAATTGTGTATACATCACACCTGAGTGAAATATGTTCAAGAGGTATATATCGTTGTGGAGGTCGATCGTTGTTCAATCGAGCTCATCTCGATCGCCGCCCGCTAAACACCGGCAGGTCGTTTAAACGAGTGTCTTCATTGAGGGACGAGGGAAATGAGGATGCGAGGTAACAAATTCGTCGGTCCGATTGGTCGTCGTTTACTCGGTTGGTTCGTATTTTAGCATGCTAACCGAGGAGAGACAAGATTCGTTCGTTAAAAAAAAAAATGAACAAAGGCTAGACACCGATCAACGGCGAAACCTTTATCTTCGATATCGCGTAATTTTCACCGATAATTTCTTCGTTCCACGTCGTTCGAGATTCCTCGGATTTTTCACCTGGCTGAATAATTTATCGTCGTAGGCGGCACACCGTGCACTGTCGGTCGAAATCGAGCTGGAACGCTCTGGTAACCAATGCCACCGCGAACCGTGGACGTGGTGTATCAAAAGACGAGTCTCGGCGGAAAAAACGAAGGAAAAGGAGGATAACACGCACCGTAAATTTGTACTTTTTCCGAACACGTGCGAGTTTGACAACAAACTTGCGGCGAGTTTTCGACAGGCGCACAGTGGCGTACCGCGGTTCCGCGAAGCCTCGAGATCCCCCCCGTTCGGCTCTAAGCAAACGAAACTCGGGCAATTTTACTCTTAGACCTCGTTTTTTCACGCGAACTGTCGGGGTAACGTGTATGAATAATAGACGGACTTGGAGAATTTCGCCCACGGAGGGAATCTCTGTGCCCGCGATTTTGCCAGTCGGTGATAGGAACAACCCGAGACACCGCGTATACGACAATTCCATCGGTGCTTCCCTCCGTTGTCATCGTCTCTCCTATGTATAGAGGAGAGGACCTTTCGTGAACTTTGATTTTCACCCTTTGTCTCTCTATGAACCGCTGAAATTTGTATCCTGTTGATGGATTAATTTTCGTTCGAAGCGTTGTTTACCACGTTGCACGACCTTCTTAAGATCCGGCCTAGATTTAGCGACGAATCTCGCAGGGAAGACGAACATTGTCACCCAAAAAGTCGACTTGAATCGCAAACATAAGATACTCGTTCAACGATTTCGCAGATCATCGCACTTGCTTCGAATTTGTACGCTGTTTTTACGCGGCGGAACGAGATCGGAGGATCGTTTTCGTCGATTCTCCGTTTGTTATTCTCCTGCACTGTTCTAATCTCTCGTGTACATATGTTGAAACAAAAATTTGAGGATGTGGATGCCGTATGAATGGGATGCGGTGTTGTTTTCTCGTTCGAGAGAGATGACTTCATTCGTCGCCAGGATAAATGTTTTCTCAAGTTTGTTCCATGGAATAGCGAAATTACTGCAAAACTAAGGGTTAACTTTCGTCGTTTCTTTCCTACGATTTGAATTAATACCTGTGCGTATATCACCCGAAGCATCCACGTTTAATCAATGTTTTCCGCGTGTAAACGACGTCGCATAAATTTTCAAATAGGAGCAATTCTCGTTGTCCGGCCGATAAATCAGCACAGAATTGAAAATGATAAATCTGTTTTTCTTGCGGGCAATAATGTTCAGATGATCATGATATACCTGCACGAGCTTCTCTAGAAAATTACATGCATTACGGCTAAATCGCTGCTCGATTGAATTTAATTTGTCGATAGTTAATGTTCCCCTTTTACGTTCCGCTGAAAACCTTTATTATTAAACGTGTATCTTAACCTCTCCGTTCGTGGAACATCGTTGCTGATTTTTACAAATTGTGCAACTATATTTCTCGCAACCGTGCTTGCATAATTGCCAATTTTTCTGATGATTTATGAAATAACGAGATAAATACAGGCCAGCGTAATTACACGGAAACTTCTGATCTACTTTGCCGCGAAGATTATTCGAAAATTGGCTGGTAATTTGCATCTTATTTCAATTTATCTCGTTCAAAACGCGCGATATTTATCAGAGCATCGTTCTCCGTCTGTCGTAACTTCGAACGATAAATTCGCAGAAAGGTATTAGAAAATTTTCACTAAATAACTATTTCGAAGATGTCGTTTATCGAAAGAATCCGCTGAAGAATATTACACGGCACTTTTCACGTAGACGTGTTTAATACCGACTTGACTTGCTACATTTCCGCTTTTCCAGTGAATGAAACTGGCCGACCTATCTCGATCATAAATTTAGCAAACATCGAGAAACGTAAAGTTAGATCTTGCGCATTGAAAACACGACATTTTCGTCTATTACAGTGCATTAGATCATTATTTAAACAGCGAACATCTCGGTTCTCCCGAAATTTTCACGCTGGAGTCTATATAAAGTTGGAATACAACAGATTTCAATGAAATTTTAATTCACGCTTATTAACGTTTACCTCTCCGTAAAATCACGAAAAAAGGACATGAAGTATTCACCGTATTTCCTCTAAATTCCAGTGTCGTGACACACGCGACACTGATATATTCAATACCTCCAACTTTTCTTCGTAACTGATTTTTCATCCTGATTCTTGCTCAGACAAAATTATCGCTGGTGCATTACTGTTCACGGAATGAAGTAATTGCAACGAATTGGGTGGGCATGTTTACGGTTCCATCAATAGGAAATATCGTACGCTTAATTTCTATCGATGCTTCAAGTCCAGTGACAAATAAAATAGCTAATCTCGATACGGGAGTTTATACTGTTATTAGCCAGAGCTTTTTTTCAAGGGGGAATACCACCCCGAGGCTTGTAAAAGTAGATACAAGTTTGGGAATTTTTTTCGAAGGATGTAAATGCAACTTTCAGCAATAGGTAAAAATGTTACCTATTGGTACCGCCTTAGGGTGGTTTAACCCTTCCAGTGCTGAGTATACTAAATGACAAAACTGGTTGTATCCCTTTTCTTAATGTTCGACCAAATGTTCACACGCAGTGAAGATGAATTTGGCTTGTTAAATGAAACATATTTTCTGTATATTGCATCGCAGTAATTATCGAAACAAATCCGGCAAAGTCGACATTCACAGAGGAATGTAATTTGAAAATTTTGTATCATTGCGACGCGAAAATTGCCTTGTATGATACAAAAGAACGTCTAGCTCTTCGCTAAACGCTACGAGTCACCTTCGTTATTTAAATATTATTAAAAATGCAAGAAAACGAGAGCGCCAATCTTGTCATTCACAAAATACGCTACAATCGCTTCTTTTCTCGTACACTCCACACTCGCTATTTACATAAATAATTAGCACGCTTAAATAGTAACAGACAAACTTCCTCACGCAACAATTCCAACCTCTCCTCTTCTATCCTCTGTCTAATCCAATGCGCCAATTATCCACAATCTTCCTCCCCGATCCTTCTCCGTCTACCTCGAACTGATTTTCGAGACTGTCAACCGCGCTTCGCAGATCACTCATAAATCTCGATTAGAAGGAAAAAGGAAGGAAAAGAAAAGAATACTTCATCGTCCGTGATCGCTCACGATTTCTTCCTCCCCCACCCCCGCGGCGAGAATCTGAGATCACGCACCGAAACTAACCAGCGCAATTTGTCATTTGGCATTTCAGGAGAATAGCCCCGTTCAAGATAGTGTCGAAGAGGTGGCATCGTTCAGGATACGTGTCTGGCCGTGTGTGTGTGCGTGCATGGAAAAGAAAAACGAGCGCAGGACCTCGAGGTACGAAGGAGAACAAGGCGGAGCAAAGTGGCTCCGCTAACGGCACGAACGGCGGTGAAAAAATGTCGAGTGCCGCGGACAGTCCTGATGGGATGGCTTTGCAGTCGCACTACTCCTTACGATGGAACAATCATCAGACGCACATACTTCAGGCCTTCGAGGCATTGCTACACGCGGAGATACTCGTCGATGTGACCCTGGTTTGCGCCGAGACCAGCCTCAGGGCGCACAAGGTCGTCCTTAGTGCCTGCAGGTACGAAACCGTTTTTACACTTTTCTTTTCTCTTCTTATTCGCCCTGCATGTCCTCTATTACGTGGCTGTTCACCTGATGCGCCGAACACTCGTTTTTTCCCCACTGCCCCTCTGGTTGGTTCAACAGCCCACCCCTCTTTATTGTCACGACGATTTGACGACACGTTTGTCGATGCTTCTTGAGTTTGGTTTCTTGTTATCGGGAGGTGTTCGCTGGTGAGTTTTGAGCTTCTGTTGGAGTATCTATCGGTTGATCTGTTTATTCTCTGATTTTCACACCGAGAGCGGTGTACAGGTGTGCTAGAGATTTTTTGGTGCGAGTTAACCCTTTGGACTGCTGGGAACTAGGAAGTTTTCATCTGACACTTTTCGATCTAAGAGTCAGTTGCTTTCTGTTTTAGTACTGTATCGAGTAACAGAAGCTAATTTATTGCAGATTGGTTAGATTTAGTAACCCTCGGTGTTAGAAATTAGAAGGGCAGTTGGGATTAAAATTAATTTTCGTTATTAAAATATGTTTTTTGTTAACAAAATTAGTGGAAGCGTTTAATTTGAATAAATGGTAACATTTGTCAAATTTTCATCCTATGCATCACAGGGGCACGTTTAAGTAGTTTTATTTCTAACTGTTGACACATTATTTATGCTACGTGTTGTGTTAAATTAAAAAATTCAGTTAGAATCGATCCGGCATTCAACGTATTAATATAACTATTTTCGTCGTATCTTGACCAGAATCTCTGCGACGAGTCTGACTTGTTGTTGTGTTGTTATAAGTGAAGGGGTTAATAGTCGTATTGTTACGTTGGTCGAATACTTTGTATTTTATATTTGCAAAGTAAATAATATGGAATGTGAATGTGAAGAGCTTTCGATTATCAGTGAACTAAGGCAGTCGAAGGGTTAAATAGGTTAAAAATCAGTCAAAAATGTATACATTTTGTCAGGATGTAAAATATTTTTTGCTGCGTCGCAGAATTTTAGTAATTAGTTTGTATACGCCGTGAGATTAAAAAAATGTTAAAAATCGTTGTATTAGAGTGTTTGGCTGTTGATTTGTCTTTTTAGAATTCTCTTAACCCCTTCATCGCTGTAGGCGCTTTAAAATGTTCTCGTACGGTGCTGTTCGCGCCTTTCGGCGTACTTTCTCCTTAATTTAATCCTTTGCGCACTTTTTAATTTAATAAGGTAAATTTGGATACGGCTGAAACGGAAGATTTTGCGGCCACGAGCGGACGTCTAGCGCAGCGAAAGGGTTGAGGATACACTTAGGGAGAGAACTGTTAGAAATTCGTAGAAAGATCAAGTAAATCGAGATAGTATTGAAGAAATTGAAAGTCAAAGGACGATATTCATTTTTCACTCCTTCGATCAAAAGTGTCTCTTCTTGATTTTGACAACATTTTGAATTTTTTTAGTTACTCAAAGTAAGAGACGATCATCTTACCTATATTTCGAGATAATATTGAAGAATTTGAAAATTAAAGGACGAGAGTTTGCAATTTTTTACTAAATATGGTTCACATCTTCGATTCAAAAGGTTTCTTCTTGATTTTGACAACATTTTGAATTTTTTTAGTTACTCAAAGTAAGAGACGATCATCTTACCTATATTTCGAGATAATATTGAAGAATTTGATAAGGAAAGGACGAGATTTTTGCAATTCACTCCTTTATCAGTGCATGAGAATTAGATTACGTATCTTTATCAATAATATACATCAAAAACACATTGCTTTATATAATACAAAAGAGAATTAAGTTCCTCGGTAAAAGAAAAATCTACAGGTCATCTTCGTTACTTGAAACTTATTGAAAATGTAAAAAAATGATATAAGTAATTTTCTTGATTACAAAATATAGAGAAAAATTTCCTCTTTTCGTTAAGACTGCAGAACTACTAAATTTCGATAACGTTTTAAAGAAAATTTTTATTTTTTCTTCTACACGCATATTTCTCTGTTTGCACTATTAAATTAAACTATTCGTACATATTTTTTAACAAACTTTTACTATTTCAAATGTAACATAAATAATATCCAAGTTGATATTTACCCTTAAATACACTTAAAGCTGAAAGAAAAAAAAACAGAAAGTATTATCGATCATAAAATAGTGATCAGTAGATTGATATTCATCGTGGTTCTCCATATACAATGGTTTCTTATTAGAAGACTTCCGATTTACATTTGTATTCTGCACCAGTAACCGCGAGAAATGATATGTCTACCAATTTACATAACCACTGTCATATGTTATGCCAATAGAATTAACAAATCATCATTATCTAAAGAAGAAAACCATTCTTCGCATAAAGTTTCTTACTCAGTGATCTTATAAGGTTATCGATCAAAAATTTTCATTCGAAGAACAAGTATAGACATGCTTGTTATTCACAGAAAAGGTTAGAAAAAATGCAGTGAGGGTACAAGCTTTGCAAAAGCACGTGTTCTACATATAGGATGTTCAAAAGGTTGCATGAAACATTTAGGGAAACCGTAAATCTGGTTCTTCGTAAAAACACTCGTAAAAACTATGTAACCTAGTAGAGGAAATGAAATTATGTTCTTGCAACGGCGAACCTAACCTCAGATTAGTGTACGACAGATTGAACGTTAGTCTGAGATTAGCGGAATCAGTGTATCGCGAATTCTCGCTCGTCGCAAATTTCGTTTGTGTTGTATTGGCCTTTACCGAAAGTTACACTGGCATGGATTTTGTAGAAACGTGTTAGATTTCGTGTATGGGCTTAAGAACAGATACAAATTCGTTCAAATTTCTTCTCTTTAACATTATTCACCGATTAGGTTAGTTTTTGTGATAATTTAGACGTTCGTTGTTTGAAATTTATTGAAAATGTAAGGAAATGTTAAATTTTATTTTTATTATCATAAAATATAGAGAAATATTTTATTTTTTCAAATTGACAAATTTAAGAAATTGAACGTCAAAGAATGTCTCAAGGACAGTTTTTAAGTAAATCTACTTTAATACTTTTGTACTGAGAATTCGCTACTATATCGAATTAGACTATATACAATTAGACAGTTCCTTCACGTTTCCATTTGCAAAGAAATTATTTTCATGCAACCATGCAACTTTTGTAAATAACATTTTCGCTTATTACGTGAAATAACAAAGATATTTAATGTGGACAGAGTTTGTGGGACACCCGGTACACAAAAATAATTCAAAGAAACGCAGAATTCTTGTTTCTTATCATTCACAAATTATTTATCGAAGAAACTCATATTTTCTAAGGATTGAAAGAGTGAAAAAAAAGTCTGCCTACTTACATATTTTAGAAACAGTAGGCAGCTCGTTCAAAGTAGACATTCACTTCTAAAAGAACTGTCTTGAAAACAACAGAATAGAATAAATAGAATTAAAATCGGTCACTCTAGAATCACACACTCTCCTTTCATTACCAAGCCAAATCCTACAATATGCTATCATTGCGATATACCGGTTACTGTAAAACACATTCCACTACATTGTCCTAAATTCTCAAGCCAACGAGTTAAGCGTTGTTTATGTCACTCTCTAAAACATAACCTTAACGATCGACAAGCTAAATTTCTAAAAGATATTCGATTGTATCATAACAGCATCTGTTTTCAAGCTATAACTAATGCCCAACAGTTGTCGCTACTGACCTTACGTAGCTGATGCGACAGTAAACTCGTGTATAATAGAAAACAAACTCATACGTGCAGTGGTTAGATTAGGTTAAGTCAGAATTTTCAAAATTTCTCGATTGAGTTACCGTTTAGAAAAAGAAACACGCTTCGTTCACGTTTAACAGTTTGGTAAAGTATTACGCTCTGAAAATCTTCTCAAATGTTAAGTATAGATATAAAGGCATTTATCAAAGTGAAAAACTGAATAGCACGAGTAAACGGTATGATTTGAAATAAAGAAAAAAGATTTCTTCCACGAAGGTACGTTCTTTGCCACGAAATATAATACTTTTCTGTTCATTTGTTCGCGGTTTACTGGTCAGCTGTATTCGAAATAACACAGTAATGCTCTTCTTGCTGTACGGAACATATGACGTAAAAGCGGCCACAAGCGAAAGTCTTGTACCGTCTAGAATCGGTGTCTCACGATCGGTATGAAAACACTAATTCTCGCTCGAACTTTTTGCACGGTGGTTTCTGTCAGTAAATCGAGCTGCACTGTTTTTGCTGCTTGACCAAACTACAACGAAGAACACATGTTTGAGACAACAAATGATTTTCTTTATCATTCGTGTATATACTTCCGCTGCTTTCGTTTCTCAAAACTCCAGTATGGTACATTAATCAACGTCCAACTGTATCCTCCGTTTGTACGTTTTGTATGAATTTTATTACGATTTAGCGTCAAATCGATTTTAAAAGAGAGAGAACAATTCGGTGTTTATTATCACCTTTTACTATTCTCGTTGCAAAAATAGATATTTCGTGCAGGAATTTGAGGTTAACTGTGCAAAACGACACTTGAGACATTTTCTAACCTATAAAAAACTTTTCAAATTTCGAGAGAATTGCAGAAAAGCTGTTACAAGCGTATTTTTGTTTTTCGTTAAAAATTAATTCCTTACAAAATTAAAGAACTAACTGTATTCGTAATGTTAAGTTACTTTCAATTCTAGATACAAATCTTTTGGAACTTTATAGCAATGTCGAACATTATTTTGTGTAAAAAATGTAAATATTATTCTGGTGAATATGATATAGAAAAGAAAAAGTCACATTTATTCCAAATAAACATTTCAACAGAAGTTTGTCAATCTAACAAATTTAATTTAACCGACTGAAAGAAAACATTTGGTAAAATTACAAATTGCAGGAAACTTTAAAGCAGTTCTAAGATTTATTGTAAATACACGCGTAGCTTGTACGGTGTACAAGCACCTTTTTAAGGCTCATGAAGATTGTGCATACTCAATTCTCGTTTCAAGCAGAGGTTGCGTGTCCGATAATAGTGAAGTAAATCAAACATAATCGTTTTATAAGGAACAAAAAAGCGAAAGCTATTTTAAACCGCGTACATTTCTTCGATACTTTCGCCATTTTCTTTTTCATATACAAAGTGTACACTATCACACTCGTTGCTATTACAAAAATATTGCAATAAATGCAACAAATGAAATACGAAAAAAAAAAAAAAACAAGTCTATTCTCAAACATAACGTACCTTCAATCTACGAATCACTTTCACACGTGAAATTCCGCAAAACCAGTTTCACGTCGAAACCCTCGAAGAAAAGTTAAACATATTACTCACATGTGTATATACCTATATTTCTTTCATTTTCATGTTTTACTGTCCATTGCCAAACTGCGAAAACCCCTCTGACCGATGTCTTGTCAACAGATACACACTACCACGACAGCAGCGTTTCTAACGCATTGCATAAGAAAGTATGCAAAGTATAACGATCGTCGGATAAAATATGAATCGTAATACCGGCAGATAATTGGAAGATGCTCGATTAAACTATAGACATTTGTACGTTGCAGTCCGTTCTTCGAGAGGATATTCGCGGAGCATCCCTGCAAGCATCCAGTGATCGTGCTGAAGGACTTCCCCGGTCACGAGGTGGCAGCGCTGATCGACTTTATGTACCGCGGCGAGGTGAGGGTCGGTCGCGAGGAACTTCCAGGACTGATGAGAGCCGCGGAGAGTCTGCAGGTGCGTGGATTAGCGTCGTCGGAACCACGGCCGGCGTCGCCGCCGGAAACGCCGACCGGCGATCTTCTACTCGGCGAGCCGTCGACGCCGGAAGGAGCGAGGCAGGGAACCCCCGAGGAGGACGACAACGCGTCGGAGAGTACCGCGCCGCCGTCCACGCGGGAACCAGCACCGGTCACGACACCTACTATTTTTCACCCAGCGAGGGACCATCGTGATAGGCTGCCGCATATGGGTCACTTGAACTTCGGGATGCGCGAGCTAAGGGAGAGCTGCGGATCGCCGCTTCTACCTCGACGAAAACAGGCACGACCGCGAAGAAGATCCGGCGAATTAGTGCCGCAAGACCTTAGCCGACCCCATCCACCGCCAAGTCTTAGTCCGCCTGTAAGCGGATTAAATCTGACTGGTAGCAGCAGTCAACAACAGTCCCAGCAGCATCAGCAACAACACCAGCAACAGCAACATCATCAACAACCCTCGATGAACTCGCACAACCAGCAACAACAGCAACAAGAGGACATGGCGGAGAATCTGTCGATGAAACGATCGTTATCGCCTACCGGAACCGAGCAGCATCACGTGAAAGCGGAGAGCAGCGAAGCAGCGAGTAGTCCAAGGGGATCACCGTTGACCGGCACAAGTCTGCTGCACCCTGACGGCTCCCTCCAAGATATTCCGTCTGCGGCGGCAGCAGCGGCGGCGGCGGCGGCTGCTGCAGGTTTGCCGGCTATGTCGGCCTTGTCGCTAACGCCACCGCATCATCACAGCGAGTACCTGACGAGCCTGGGCCAACTGGCGGCACAATGGTTGCCGAATCATCCACAGAGCCAACTGCCACTTCCACCTCAGGGTCATCATCCGCGGGAAGGTAGTCCCCACGGGCCGAGTAGAACGCATCCGTATCAGCAGCAACAGCAACAACAGCAACAAGAATCACCGTTAACGCCGCGACGTAGTTCGGTGACGACGATGTTCCCGTTAGACGGTGTCGCGTCGTTAGGCGGTGGACTGTTCCCTCATACAGGCGCGCTCGACAGAGGATCCCTGTTGGCGGATCTTCACGATAGCTTTAAACCGGAAACGCTGCACGGTCTGTTCGGTGCGGCGGGTCTCGGCGGTCATCATCCGGGGAAAAAGCCAAAGAAACACAGAGGCGACGGTGACACGCCGCGCAGATGGGGCGATCACAGTAGTCGCGGTTTACCTGTAGGCAGGCCGAAAGGTCAGCACAGCGCGCCCAGGGGCGGACCGCCCCGATCGTGGACGAACGCCGAGTTGACAGAGGCGTTGCAGCACGTGTGGAACAAGAAGATGACGACGTCGCAGGCAAGCAGGATCTTCGGTATACCGTACAACAGCCTATTGATGTACGTCAGAGGGAAATACGGGAAAAGTTTGAAACTCGAGCAGTTGAGAAGGGACTGCACGGGCGCGACGACTGGCGAGGTAGTAATGAATTCGTTGAACAACAACGTTAAAGCCGTCCAACCGCCCACGCAAATCACCCATCCGCTTGCCGGTTTGCCACCGCATCCGGGCGACGACGGTGGATTTCCTCATCATTCGTTGCTCGGCGGTAACCTGCCGCAAGGATTCTTTCCCGACTTTGCCGCCGCGGCGTTTCCCGTGCCGGTTAGTATGGTCCATTTGCTACCGCCAAGTGAACAGAAGGCGTTCGAACCACCGACGAACCCGAGTAGCGGCAGCGGAGGTGGCGGTGATCTGTCGACAGCGCGAAGCAGTCGGACACCATCGCCTATCGATCATCATCATCACGAGTCGATGCAACCGCAACCACCTCAATCGGCACCGGCGCTACTTCAGCAAAATGGTTCGGATTAGAACAGAATCGTTTTACGCGTGATGTCATAGGTGTGTACGCGCGGTGACACTTGATCATCCTCGTTCAAGGCCCCCCACCCACCCCCACCCCTAATAACAGGTGCGTTGGAGGTGTACCGATTATCATCAAGTCAATCCAACAAACCGACAAATTCCCTTTTAACGATCCCTTCACACACTCGCACACACACGTTTACACACGCGCGCGCGCGCGCGCGCGAAACAAAAAGTATAGAACAGAGAAGAACAACAACACACGAGAACGTAACCTCGATCTTTCCGCGAAATTGTTCTCTTCTCGCAAGACTGACTATCACACCATTTACAGCTCCCGGAGTAAGCTCGACGGACGTTCCCAACCGAACCAAACCAACCCCCCTTCGACCACCCTGTTCAGTCGCCACGATGTCACCACCTTCCCCCATTCGTTCCTATCTTTTCTATATGTTTCTCTCGACTTCCTTTGTCCGTCTTTCTTCGTCAGCAAAAATATTGACGTCACCTCCATTCCAACCATTGCCACCTCTCCCCCACCCCTCCGCACCGCCCCCAATTGTCCGTCAATCGCGAAACGCCAAACTCAGTCGAGCGTGCCGGCGAAATTCTCTCTCTCGAGAAAACCGTCTTCTGATATTCTTCGGCTCGCGTCCTCTTGGTTACATTAGCGGGGCTGCGTCTGGATAGAAGAAGAGTCATCGACGGCGTCTTCTGGTGCTC